CCAGCACCGCGGTGGTCGACAAGGAAACCAGAAAAACAGGAAAAAAAAAAACCCCAAAACCGCACAGTGCCAACCCCCAGCTCCTCCCGCTAAGCCCAGGCACTCCCCCTGGAGCAATCTTGGATGTTCCTTTGGCATCCAAGGACTGGCACAGCTCAAACTGATGCCATTAAATTCTCCATCTCCCAAATCCAGGTTCTCCTTTGCTGCGGAGTTTTTGCCCGTCCCACAGTCCAGAGGGACCTCTGGCAGCTGCACTGCCCAAGAGCTGCCGTGGGACTGCTGGGGAACGCACCACTGGAAGCAAGACAGAAATAAATTCATTCAGAGCGCCACCTCGAAAGACTGAAGGAAAAACCCCCTAACATTCCATTGCCTCCCTTTCTAAAGGGAACCGTGTGAGCTCCGTGTGAGCCGGGAGGCTCCGGGCTGCGGGAAAGCACCCGGAGGGATGGAGGGAACACGATGCTCCTCTCCTCGCTCCATCCCCAGCACAGCCCTCGGGATACTCGGCACCACAGCTGGGGGATGGCCCTGGGGGTGCTCCTCTCCATCCCCATGGATCCTGCTGCCCCCCCAGAGCCAGAACCACCTCCGGAGGGGGGACGGAATGCTGGGCACGGATGCTCGGCTGGAAGGTGACACGTCCCCAGCAGCACCCAAATCTCTGCAGCTCCGTGTTTGTTGCCGCCCAGCTCAGCTGATCCCCCTCTTCAGCATCCCTGGACGTTGTCCAGCAGCACCTGCCCAAGAGGATGCGCCATAAAAATGCCCCTTCTCCAGATACAACTGCCTCCTCTCCTGAAACTTCTCCTTTGGGAAGGCAGCAACGCAGGGAACGGCAAACATCACCTTTGGGATGTGCCTGAGGAGGATTTCCCGACTTCCCTTGAGAAACCCACGTGGAAAACAGCCCAAAAACTTGTGTAATTATGCACACTCAAACCAAAAGAATACTCAAACCAGGCTCAGGCCAAGGGCAAAAGGCAGCTTCAGCATCCCACGGAGGAACAGGAGAGCAGCTCAGGATGTATAAAAATGTCCCAGACACATCCCAGAATTACAGAGTTAGAGACGGGGATCAGCTTCAGCCCCTCAGCATTTAGTTTTCCATTTATAAATACCAATTTTTATTGTTTTAAGCAAATACAGTTAATTGCACACGTGCCTGGTTGGCAGGGGAAGAGTCCAGCACCAACATTTTAGAGTTTAATTTGGAGAGGGGGAAAAAAAAAAAGCTGAAAATTGCCAAATCTATAAACCAGGAAGTTTTTACACTCGAGTTTGCTGTATGTTTCCCTTCCAATTTTATTTTCAGGAAGTAACAAAACCATCACACATGTGAGGGACTAAAAAGGTGATTTAAGGAATGTTTTACTCTCACACTTTCTCACTTTACCCCTCACAACCACCACATCATGGAACAGATGCTCAAAAATCAGTGTTCAGTAGCTGCCATTGGAATTTTAAGGGGCATCAAGGAAGCCTTGATAAATATTTGGGTAATTTCTCAAGACAGGTTTTCCTTCTCCATCTGTGTCAGTGTCCAGCACAATTCCCTGTTCCTGCTTGGTCACCAGGAGCTGCCAGAGGAAATGTCAGTCGTCGGCTTCACCTCCTCGGCGTCGCCTCATTAGTCCAGAGGTTAATTAATTGGAAGATAATAAATCTGCTAAGTGGTAGAAGAAGATCACAGCGAAGCATCAGCTCTGCCACAGGATATTCCTGCTCCTGGAACCCGATCCCTGATCAATAACTATCCTCCAAACTCAGTTATTCCAGCTAAACCACAGCAGCACAATTTGGAGGGACAGAAGTTTTCAGCCTCGTGGGAGTGATGGGAGGAACTTCTCTGGGAGGAAATCCTCAAGTTTAAAATCTTATTCCTCACTTCTCTGACTAACAAACCTCTTAAAATCCAGCCTGGATGGCGCAGGAAAGCTCCTTGGTCCCGCTAGGAAATTGCTCTCCCCTAAATATCTACAAAAGGCATTATCAGTTATTTCAACTGAGTCAATGAATCATTAAGGAAAAGAGGAAACAAGTAATCTGGAAAAAATTTTCCTCAGGAACGAGCTGGGAGACCAGCAGCAAGGCTGTCTGACAGGCAGAGTGTGTGATATAAAATATATATGTGCATACATAAATATATATATTTATATCACAAAGTATATATCTCACATATATCTACCATATATATACATATGACCACAAATATTTCTCTGTCACAAACTCTACCTATAAACTCCCACACGCACACCTGTTTTCAGGAAAGTGACATTTTTAGGGATCCTCAAATCAAACACATGCAGTGCTGTACGAGGGAAAACAAACCACGATTTTATCCCACTAAATCCAAGATGTTCTCCTGGATGTGCTGCTGGGTGTGTTTTCCTGTAAGCTCTTTTGGCTTATCCACGAAGTGCACTCGGAATTGTCAGGATCATGAAACCCCTTTGGCATTTTGCTGTCTCTGCAGTACCCGCTGGGATGACTTTTTCCAGAATTATTCCTTGTGGTCCAAGCGCATCTCCTCGAGATCCCGCTCGCTTTCTGCATCCTGGAAATGCAAGAAGGGAACAGATGAATTGAAACAACTCAACTGAAACAACTAAAAAAGACAATTTCCCTTCTTTCTACAACCCTAAACCAGTTCTTAAGCATATCAGAGAATCAAAGAATCCTGGAGTGGTTTGGGTGGGAAGGGACCTAAAGCCCACATCCAGTGCCACCCCATGCCAAGGGCAGGGACACCTTCCACCAGCCCAGGTTGCTCCAAGCCCCATCCAACCTGGCCTTGGACACTCCCAGGGATGGGGCAGCCACAGCTTCTCTGGGCAACCTGTGCCAGGGCCTCACCTCCCTCACAGGGAAGGATTCCTTCCCAATATCCCATCTAACCCTGCCCTCTGCCAGCTTGAAGCCATTCCCCCACGTCCTGCCACTCCAGACCATTGTCCAAAGTCCCTCTCCATCTCTCCTGCAGGCTCTCTTCAGGCACTGGAAGGCCACCATCGGGTCACCCTGAAACTTCTCTTCTCCAGGCTGAACAAACCCAATTCTTCCAGCCTTTCCTCCCAGCAGGAGGAAATGCTCCATCCCCCTGACCATCTTGGTGTCTCTCCTCTGGACTCGCTCCAACAGGTCCACGTCCTTCCTGTGCTGGATCCCAGAGCTGGCCGAAGTGATCCAGGTGGGATCTCAGTGGAGCAGAGGGGCAGGATCCATTTTCTCTCTGTAACCAATTTCTCCCTGCTCATCCCAGAGCCCCTGCTGATCCTGTTACCTCTTTTGTGCTCCCTGGCAGCTCGGAGGCGAGGCTCGTCCAGAGCGCAGCAGCAGTGCTGTTCCCCAGGTCCCTGTAGCACTGGGAAGGGAAAAGAACAACAGGAAAAGGGTTAAACAGGGAAAAACAGGCAGCAAACCCAACTGGGCCACTGCTAAGAAGACCTATTTCTGGCTCTTAACCATTAGCACTGACATTCCCTGCAGTCTCCTTCATTCACAGAGCCTTAGAATCACACCAGGTGGAATATGAAATACATTTAACTTCCTTTATGGTTTTGCTTGTTTGTTTTGTGGGCAAGGAGATCGGGTTTTGGTTGGAGATCTTAAGGTGTTCCCGTGGTTTTCATCATTTCCAAAGCTCTGTTTTGATTTCCACTTACTATTTCCTCACTCCAGTTTCACCACAAAAACCTCTCTACTGGGAGGGAGCACATCGTTCTCCGGGCTGTTAAAAATGAGGCTCAGCTGCAAGCACTGTAATAATAGATCATATTTACAGGAGTCTCAGACTGTCAGACTAGATGAAAACTAGATGGGAGTCCCAGACATCACGCACAAGGAACCCCAAATTTTAATATCAACGCTAAAAGTCTGTTCAGGTTAAGACTTCCACGGATTTATTGCTGCAGCTAAAAAGAAATACTGTCATCTTATAAAATCTGGCTCCTGCACGGAGTATTTTCCACCTGCTCAGCACTTTACAGCCAAAGATGATTTTTAAAGTAAATATTTCTTACCCTAGGATCTAAAGAAGCAAGAAGTGAGTGGTTACCTTGGCAATGTAAACTCTTCCTGCTTTGGAAAATCCTGGGCTCAGCTCCTCGACCTGCAGGAAGAGAGGGAGGGTGTGACAGGGATGAGCAGACATTAGGATATGCAAGGACACAGTTCATTCTTACACCAGGCTTATTGCAGCTCTTAAAGGAAAAAAAACAGAGGGAGGAAAGGAGAAAGGGAGGAAGGGAGGACTCCAAATAAATACATAAAGCACTGTGCCCCTGAAACCTTCAAGCACTTGTTTTGAAACGTCTGAAACGGAGAAGTCAGCCAGGCTTTTAATAAAATAATGCCAGAGAAATTAAAATGACAGGATGGATCTCTGCAAGTGTTCCCAGGGATGAGCTCAGACAGGTCTGGGACTCTGGAAGCACAGCCCGGATGTGATTAGTACTGAGCAGTTAATCACTGTACAGCTTTTACAAGGAACACTTCGGGTCATAATTCTGATGTCCTCAACATCCCAGAGTCTTTTCTCTGGCTATCCTGGAATGGAGGCTCCACAATTTTGCCTTTCACCAGCTTTCCTTCCACAGGTTCCAGGAGATGGAGAAGCATCACGGAGCACTGGGGGAGGGCTGAGGACACAAGCACCCCCTCTCTATGCCTGTGACCTGTGGAGGTCAGTGATCCATCCATCCCCTTTCCTGGCAGATTCCCTCACCCGCAGGAAGTTCTGGAGCGCGTCCTGCACCGTGGCCGTCGGAGGAGCCTCGAACAGTGCTGACACCGTCTTCTTCTCCAGCCATCCCAGGTGGGCAACCTGCAGAGACAGGAAGGGCAACCTGTCCCACCCACTGGAGAGCCAGCCAGGACCTGCCCAGCCTCTTGGAGCTGCTCGTGCTCCCGGGAGGAGGTCAAAGACCCTGGCAGATTCTGGATGAGTATCCAGGTCCTCACACCTGGTTTGCATCCACCTCTCTCTCATTCAGACATGGAAGGAGGAATTCCTCCAAGGAGGAATCAGACAGCAATAAGCAGTAATAAAAGCATGTTACCTGGTAACACCACCTGCCCATGAGATAGTAGAGCTGGGGGTCCTCTGGTTTCAGCTCAATGGCTTTGTCAATGTGTTCCTGGGGGAAACCAGCACCAACACACGTCACACCTTCGTTAAAAGCAAGTGAACATCCACGAGAGCAGGTGGAGAAAGAGGGAAGGCAGGAATCCACAGTTTAAGTGCTGTGATCAGTAGAATTACAGCTACAGATCCCCAGTTTTCTCAGAGTGGCTTCAGTGAGCACAGAAAAGCAGCACTTCACCAGGCTCAGGGACAGGGATTACTGCACACACAAAAAAAGGGAGCTGCCCTTCAGTTTATTCCACCTCCAGAGCTCTGCCATAACCACCTTACTGGTCATGCCATGAGCTGATGGGACAGTAATTACCTGTGACCTGTTCCAGGAACATCCCCTTTCCCTGCAACACCCCCAAGGGAAATAAAGGAATGTGAAGCAAATTAAATCCTCTTGGAGTATTTGCTTTGCCCTTCTGGAAGGGTGCAGGTTGCTCACAGGCAGAGAGACAAGCTGGTGCTGTATCTTGCCACCACATGATAACTTCAGGTTCCAAGCTCTCAGTCTCACCATTTACACAAATTTTATTTGAAAGACTTCTTTTTTTTTCCCATGAGATTATGGTGTGTAAAACCGCAGAGCCAGCCCAGTCACCCTCAAAAGACATTGCTGGAATCACCTTCCTCAGCCCAAAACACCCACTCGTGGCATCTCTGAGACCTGCTACTTCCCTAAACAAGACCTGGAGCCAATTTTCCCAAGTTCCTAGTACAGAAATAAGTGTTGTTTGATAGTCACACAAACCCAGGATGTCCTTTCCACTCACCTTGAAAACACACCCGGCCTGGATGCGCTTGGGAATGCTCTCACGTTCCGACAGCTGCCCACAAAGGATGGCAAACCTGCACAGGGAGACACCTGCATTAAATCCACATTTCATCCACATTTACCTGCTGTCCATGTCTTCAGAAGGAAGACATACAAGTGTTCAAAGCCAGGTTGGACGGGGCTTGGAGCAACCTGGGCTAGTGGAAGGTGTGTCCCTACCCATGGAAGGAGGTGGGACTGGATGAGCTTTAGGGTCCCTTCCCACCCAAACCACCCCAGGATTCTCTGAAGTGCATTAAAGCTCCACACCTTGCTGGGGAACACAAGGAACACTGGAAATCTGTGAAAACTGCAACAAAAATTCCGTGCCTAAGAGGGTTTTAGCTTGAAGGACGAGGCAAATCAGCAGGAGGGGTTTGACGTGACACACAAACTCGCTGCACTGATGGCTAAAAACCAGGAGCAGCACACTTCCACAGCTGGAATTTCTTCCCTGAGCAAGGAAAGTGTGACAAGACAGAGCAGTGAAGAGTGATTGCAGCAAGAGCCAGACTATGAGCAGCTCTAATTCACTACAGGGAGCAGCGATCTCCACATGCAGCGGCCCCGCCGCAGCACACAGGGCTCTACTTCCAGGGAAATGTTGGGAAAACCTACCTATGTCCTGCAGCTGGGAAAGAGAAGAACACGTTTTCAGTGCTGAAAGTGCAAAGCCACCTAGTTTTGTCCAACAGGGCACTGTGAGTTGTGAGCCTGAGAAGCAGGGCCCCGGCAAAGTTAGTTACTGCATGAGCCGTGAAATTCAAGGAAGGTTAATTCCCTGTGGATTTGCACCCTCCCATCTCACCTCCCCACACCAGTGGTTCGAGCCCTCCCTCCCTGAATCACTTCCCAAGAAACAATCGCTCTCAGAGCTCTCAAGGGCACTGCTGTGGGACAGCACATGCAGATTGAAGTTTGGTGTCTCTCGTCCCACTCGGGAGAGAGCTCTGGGAATGGAGGACACTTCCATCCCTTCTCTGAGTTTGGCTCAAAAAACATTAGGTGGAACAGATGGACAAATGAATAACGTGTCTAATTTTTTCAAAAAATAAAGCTGAGAAGAACAAAGTTGCAAGTAAAGCTCCCTTTTACTACACCCATACCCCGGTGCTGCTGGATACTCTGCCATTGCTATCCCAAGGCATCCCTCGGGACAGTTAAACACAGCACACGCGCAGGAATCTGTCAGAAGGCTTTTAAATCTCCAACTACACTTTCTCCAGTGTTATGAAACCCCAGGAATTCCCTCACACCTCACTGCTCCTGCCTGAGCTCCATTTCCAACGTCTAAGTTACAACACAAAGTCACATCTGAATATTTACAATTTTGCCTTAAATCCCATTCCTTTACTTTGTTAATTTTCTTGTGGGAAAGCTCTGGTTCAGTTCTGAAATTCTTATTTTTCACGGTAATGGCAAAGATTACCAGATCAATGTGTTATTGGATAAAAATCCTTTCCCCTGGTTGGAAAAGCTCACAGCTGCACTGCCCCACTCTGATGGAATAAGTGTTTTTTGGGATCTTCTCCAGTTTGTTTCCCAACAAAACATCAGCCTGGACCAAAACATCCCCAACCACAACACAACTGGGGTCGAGAAATACAAGCCAATAAAAGGCTTATTTTCTACAATCACGAGATCAAACATTCCTAGACAATAAATCCCCACAGTTGCCTCATGTCAAGAAATAAAAATTCCAGGGTTTTTTTTTTAACAGCCTGGTGGAATGTTGGTGGAAAAGCCATAAAAGCAGCAGAGTAAACTGTAAATTTCAGTTGTGAAATAAGCTAAAAAATACATATGGGACGAGATGCCTGAACTGGTTTTTCACTGTATTCCCAGGAAAGATGATTTTTCCTAAACAGCTTTGCCGGTCCCAGGTCCACTGGAGGTTTTCACACCCACAACTCTGCATTCCTGGGATTTTAGGCTCTGATTTCTGCTGTTCTCTCCTCTGCTTGTTTAGCTTGGCACAGTGGAGCTATTTATTCCAGCTCATTCCGTGGAATGCCTCGGGATGAGAGTCACCACAGACACTATGGAGGTGCAGGAGGGATGAGCAGCAGGACCAGGAGACCTGAAAAACTGTGATTTAGGGGATTTTCATTCCCTGTGACCTCTGCAGCACTGCTCAGATCCACCTCTCAGCAGCCATCCAAAGCCCCCATTAGGATATCACTCGATTAATTATTAACCAGACTCCTCATTAAGCTGCTGACAGTGGGAAAGCTGCAGTTCCCACAGGAATCTCAGCTCGGGATTTCCCCATTTGTTAGAAAATAAACCCCGTGGAAACAGATACCCCCAGCTGAGAGAGCCTGTTCTTCCAGCTTAAATCTCCAGGCTCAGGACTTTCAGGAAGTTCACTGGGATGCTGCACTCTGGCTGACTTCCCTGGGAGCAGGACTCTGCCCATGGAATACAGTCTCCAGCACCTTCCCTCCGTGGTTAGGATGCTCTGCCAACCCAAACACAGCTCTTAGCTCTTTCAACCATTTCAAAGACAAGTTTTCTCAATATTTTACGAGCATTCCCAGCTTTTCAACCTTCCTGTGCACATAGCAGATGCACAGCAGTCCCTTCACTTGAGGGAAGGAGACACGGAATTAGCAGGCAGGTATTCACACTGCAGCAACCAAACATTAAAGTAATCACTCACTTGGGAATTAGTACCTTGGGAGAGACAGCAGAATTCCCAACCTGAAATTAATGACCAGCCGATCCTAAGGAGGTTGGGGGGAAAAAAAAAAAAAGCTTTGGCTTTTCCAAGGGGAGACAAGATGGAAGGAAAAAGCGAGGAAGGCAGATGTGCTCCTTTCCTTCCTTCCCACGAACATCCACATGGGAGAGCTCCTGTGCTCTGGATGTTCAAGTTACTTCCTGAATTAACCTCCCAGGGCACACAGGTCAGGGGGATGCCACCAGGCAGCTCTAACTCCGTGCTATTTTTCTTCCTCTGCATTCTGAAATATCTCCTAACTATTCCTACGGTTGCTGCTGCCCCATATTGTCAGTAAAGTCCCTGTTTAATCTGCCCTATGGAGCAGAAAACAGTCGGCTCATAAACCCAGAATCCGGCTCAAAATTGGCCAGGTCTGGGCAGTGAACCCACCAAGAGTTAAACCCTGAAGCACTGCCAGTTGTTAAATCAGAGCTGTCTCCCAGGCACATCCAGAATGCCGTGACTTTTCAAAAATCCAGGATCTGCCCACGGACAGCCAGATGTACCCACGGAACGGAGAAGGGCTGGTGATCGAGTGTGCAAGATGTTCCACCAAACTGACAGACTCTCTAGAAGAAAGGGCACATTTTGGAGGCTCATCCAACCCAATCCCACTTCTCCATAACACACAGGAATAATAATAAGCCAAGGAATAAGCCAAAGCTTATTATTCCTTCTGCAACAGTCAGCACTTCATTTCCAGTGTAAAACATTCCACTCAAACTAAAACTAACACCCACACAATTTTCCCCAGATTTCTCTGAAATCCCTCTGGTTGCACTTCCAATATTTCTTTTAGCAACAGGAATGGGAAGCAAGGCAGACCTAGAGCTCACTCTCCTTTCCTGATCCCTAAAGATGCTACTGGACTGGAAATTCTAAAAGGCCACACTTGTTTCTCACCTCATTTGTGAGATGTCACATATTTGTGTCCAAGCAGCAAAGCACAGAGGTTTGTACAATCACATTTCTATCATATTTCTTTGCATTTTGTATCTCTTCCACCCCTATAAGCAAGAACAGACTTAGGAACTTGCTCTGTCCTACTCGTGGGCTGGAATCAGCTGAGGGAGAAATCAGTTTAGCTGGGCATAAATTCTACCTGCTCAGAGATCTTTTCACAATTAGAGCAGAGAATGATTTTGATGTCTAAATCCCAAGTAAGCATCAGGTCCTTGTAAATCAGGAGTGCAGAGGCTTTAGATCCCTCGCTCCAATAACCCTCAGCCCTGGATGCACAAATAAATCCACCCCAAAGGTACTGAGTGCATTTAACACCCAGCACAGCTCCCACACTTCTGTTCCTCCTCACTGATTCCCCAGAAGGAATCCTTCCCTTTCCCAAAGTTATTTCCTTTGCTTGTTGCTTTAAAATGTCAGCAATTACTGCAACAACCATGAGGCCCCGAGGGGAAAAAGCTTTCCTTGCAATGATCCCTGAGTGGAAAGTACTTTCTCTCTTCCTCAGCCAGTAAGGCTGGGAATGATTTGGGCAGGAGGAAATAACAAGCACAAAAGGCAAAAAAAAAAAATAAATAAAAAGGACCAGAAACCAGCACGATTTCAACTGAAGGAATCCTGATAAAACAGAGGCAACTGGTAAAATAGAAAGTCAGCAGGAAACAATGCACACACAGAGAGAGAAAAAATACAGACCAGACCTGCACAACGAGGCTTCACACAGCCTGTGTGGAGAGGCAGGAAAAGAACTGGGAATATTTCTACTAAAATGGCCATTTGGGATGTAGTGGGAAAGACAAGGATGGTGTTTGGGATGCTGTAAATGGAAGCAAGGATGCAAGGGACCATCCCATCAGCATCACACAAATCCATCCTGCTCCCATGGATTGTGTCCTGCACTGGATTTCCCCCCACTTCTGTCTGGAAAAATATATGGAAGAGGGAGAATAACATGGGAAAGACAACGTGGGTAGTGAGGGATAATCAGTTATTCCCTATGAGAAGAGATAATAACAGATTAGGGTTTTCACAACAGGAATCAGGCACTGGAGAGAGAAATATGACAGAATAAAACTGTAATTTAAAGCAAGTGTGAACAATGTTCTCCATAAACCAAGGGCTGGGGCACCAAATCCACCCCCAAAAAGCTTTAAAGACTCTACTGGTTTTTTTCTCCTCCTCAGGATAAATTCAATTAGCATAAAAAAAGGCTGCAATTAAACCAGCTTGTGACCACCTCAGAGCTGGGAAGAGAGTAATTTCCTGTTCTATTCACGGCAGTAAATAATAATTTCTGTGCTGATAAAGGGAATTACATATTCATTCCCAAGAAATCCCACGCCTCCCACAGGCTGCTCTGCTGTTTCCTTTCTCCAGCTGCTCTGAAGAACTAAAAGCAAGATGTAGCTGTGCAGGAGCCTTATCCCTGTCTGGGAAAAGGGTCTGAGAGGCCCAGGACTGTCCCAAAATCTGAATTACAAAGCAAAACTACCAATATGGAACCCTGGAGTAGAACCTTGCTTTGTAAAATATCAATTTTAAGATCTGCCCTGGCAACTAAAACCCATTTTTCCAAGATGTTAAGCCAGCAGAGCCCACTACCATACTCTGCTGGAGATTTTCCTGCCCCCAAAATTCATCCTTCCTATCAAAGCTTTAATTGAAAACAGCAATTCATTACTAACAACTGAAATACAGTCGTCTTTTTAAGACAATAAAGGTATTTATTCAGATGCCAGTAGCCCAAAACAACCCTCCAAATAAATTTGCTCATTAGAAGAGCACAGACCTTGTCCGGTAAAGATACTCAGCATCTTGTTTTCCCAACAATTTCCATTAAAAAAAGTAATTTCCCTTTTATTCTAATTTAAATGTTGTCAGTCTTTCACGGTAACTGCTGACAAACACTGTTCATGGAGGAATTCACCAGAAAGGCACATTGCCTTACCTCCACAAATATCTGAACCACTCCACAAACTCTCTTTTGGAGTTATTTTAAAAAAGGAGAGCAATCCTTTCAATCCATGACTTGGAAGCAAAGCCTTTAGGGAGTGAGCTCCTTCCCTGTCACCTCCCTCCTTACTGAAATCTGGGTATAATTATTACTTTTTTAACTGCAGCTCAGCTCACAACAACCTCCAAGTTCTTTTCCTGCACTTTTCATGAGCAAGAAGTGGAAAAAAAAAAAATCACATACCACTGGTGGCACTCAGCACTTTGATCCCACTTCTGTAAGGCAAGTTCCAGCTCTTTCTTCCCTGGAAAAAAAAAAGGTAGCCAGAGGTAAGAAATTCAGCTGCTTTCTCTCCTGACTTCTTTCTTTGTGGCTGCTAGAGCACAATAACATATACATATATATATATATATATATATATAGGTATAAAAATAATATATTTGTTAATTTTATACCACGTGTGGCTTGAAAATGCCCTGTAAATAATTTCATCCTTTTGCAGACTCAAAAAGCTGCAAACTAAGCATTTACTGCAGACTAAGAGGACCACATAAAACTTAAAATTCCACGTTTAAATGGCTACACTGATTCCCAGAAAAGAATAATTATATTAGCTATAGTATTCATTTATTCAGTCACATGTGTACCTAACGGGGCAGAAGTTAATTTAGATTAGTACCTTTTGCTGCACATCTTAACCTTAATAAAGATGATTTCTGTTCTCTTGTGACTCACCTAAAACCTTGTGAACACATCTGAGGTGGTAAAGAAGGAGGGAACGAAATTAAAGTGACTCTTCTAAGCAAACACCTGTCTAAAAATACATTTCTTTTTTTTTTGTGTATCTGTATGTGCTGGCAACACAAAAAAAAA